TTATCGGGTAAAATATAAAAAAGCCTCTCTTTCCAATTTTGAATCTCTGCACGGCTCAATTCATGTTCAATATTTTGCAGCGGTGTAAATTTCACATTCACGCCAAGCTCCTTCAGATTCTTAGCACTTTCCTCACCCCATTCAATAGGAACCAAAGTATCTATCGTACCATGGTACTGAACAAGTGGTACCTTATTATGTTCTGGCCTTGCTTTTAAATGCTAAAATTGTTTTAATAAATAAATAAAATAATAAGAATATAGTTTTATACTAAAAATAAATATTTTTACAATTTGGTTAGTGTATAAAATGTTACATTTTGAAAATTTTATTTTTATGAAATCTGTTCATAATTATCTTTTAATAATCGAGTATTATGTACCATATTATAATGTTTTTCCTTTAGAAAAGTATGTTTTTATAAAATATTAACGATTTTATTGTATAAATATACCTCATAGATTATAGATCCTTTGTTTAGGAAGGAAGACATAACAAAGCAACCAGCTATAGATGTTTTGTATCTGTATGCTAAATGCAATGCAAGGCAACCACCCATTGAAAAGCCACCCAGAATTATTCTGTTAAATGGAATTCCATTGGTTACTTCTCTATCAATCAAGTCTGATATATTCTGACACATAGAATCAACTGACTCTATATGTTCTGGTACTTGATTAGATATTGCCATACGATCAAACCATACATTTTGCATCTACAATAAAATTTTAGTAAAACTTTACAAAAAACTTGCTATATAAAAGAAGATAATATAAGTTTAATCCTGGAACCTTAACTAGAAAGTTGTTTTTTCTGACATTTGCTTTTAAAAAGTTTTCGATACATGTTTTGTACATATTGATATTAATTAAAAACTGTCTATCATAAGTGTTCCAGGATTAATCCATAATTGTACCATTCCGCCATTTGGTGTATAAGGTTGACTGGGTGCGCTAGGATAAATTAACTTTATGTGTGGAAACTGCAACTTTTCTCTGTTAAGAACGTTAATCCATTCTTTAATATCTTTTGCTGTGCCACCTGCAAATAATATAGAATATAATTAACAATTAAGGCAATATTACATAGAATTTTACTTTAATTTAAGAGAAAAAATATAATTTTACTATAAAAGTTTAATTGCATTCTTTTTTGCTTATTTTTCATTATATGATCCGACAGATTTTGCTATGTTATTTTACCGGAACCGTGGAAGAAAAATACAGTAGCTGTATGCTTTTGCGTAGCTTGCACGATATTTGCTTGTGAGATTTTTGCGATTGTTGTCATTTTCTTGAAGCTACTGATTTATTTGTCCGTCTCAGTTTTCTAAAATTACTGTCAATGTATAAAATTATAAAAGCTGCACTATATATTTTTACTGATATATCGTGATATGTTAGAATAGGAAAGTCACGAACTAAAGTATTATAGAAGCGCGTCTGTTATCAAGTTACGTAAGAAATGACACTTTATTATACTAATTTTACGTCAGATTCGAAAACATTTATTTGGTCTTACGCAATTAACTATATTATTATTATTATTTGTACATTTTACATTGCTTAATTACCTGATTAATTCATTGTTTTGATTGTTCCAATATTTCAAATTTCGCGCGCATTGTCACATCTTGATAATTCTTACACCATGGTTATAGTCATGGAACACATCTCGGCGATTCCATTCAAACCGCGTCATATTTTCTTCGTAATAATTTTTTGTCTCTAGTAGCGAATTGGCGTATAAATATATATTCTACGTCATTCTTCTACAATTAACTGTGCTAATTATACTCTTTCTAATTTGCTATCGCGATTACTTCGAATTTTATTTCGATATTAAATATTAGATCTGTTCGCGCGTTTTAGGATTTTTTAAACGATATGTGTGCATCGAGGGCAGTAAGTGTAATTAGACGGAGCAGGTCGATTGCTGCGATGTGATTGGCTGGCCGTGTCGATATATCGATAAACGCACGAGGCAAATTGCGATTCTCGAAGTATCCTCAGTAACGAACATCGAGTCCAAATCGGAGAGTCGGGTTCGAATAGCTCCGTATTTTTCACGGTTATTATCGTCTAGAAGTGAATCCCGCGGGTGAACAATTATCGCGAGTGTGTCGTAAAGTGTCAAACATTCGTCGCAATGTTGAACATTGTGCACAAACGTCATTATACACGCGAATATCGGTATCGACGATTCTTGTCCGGAATCCGATGCCGAGAAATCGTCGTCGCACCTTCTTCAAGTAATTCCCTCGTCAAAATGTATAGTAAAAGTACGCGATTTTATCGTCAAATGTATCTAAATCATCGTTCTTTAATTAATTAATGGGTTCGATTATGTTTTTTGTAATATTTGATCGAAATTGTCGTAGGAGTGGGAGCGGGGGGTGGGGGGGCATGGGATGGGATGCACTTGCTGTTACGATTGCTTTGATTGATCGATCAGCATCGATCGGATCCTTGCAAGGAGCAAGGATTCCTTTGTTCGATCGAACGAAGCAATTGTAATTTCAAGCGGATCCTTTCCAAGTCCTTCGTTAGTTACCAAAAACCGTCGAAAATTTGCACTACCGCCATCTCGGCAACCGGAGAAAAAGCACTGAATCTAAGAAGGACATGGACGAATGGTAACAGGCAAAGATGGAGTTACTTAACAAGCGTCGGTAATCTGTAAAAAAACAGTGAGCGGAGGGAAAAAGAAACATTGATCGGACGAGCACGATATAATCGGTTCTGTTCGCGGTCGCAAGATGTCAGCTCGATGACCGATCGCATCGTGACGTACGATGGTCGCGTATGACATTGCCGTAGTACTAAAATGGCCGCGACGGTTTCCGAGAATTCGAGTGCAGTGTTGTGAGTGCGCGTGCATTTCGACAAGTGGACCATCGTCTGGCAAGGACGCCGCCGACGCCGGAGGCTACCCCGAAGCATGACCGACAATCCCGCGCCATTGGTGAGTCATGACATTTCTCACGAGACGAGATCGGAGGATGCGAGAGATGCGGGGACCGCGGTGAGGTTACTGGCTGTCATCGGCGCTACCGCGCGATCTTCGCGCTGCCGCTGTCGCGACGCACGATTTTTTTTTTCGCCCTTTTAAGGGTCGTTTGTCTTTGATAATTTTACGCATATATAAAATTCTCTCTTCCGCCTATGCAAATGACACGTACGTGCATCCCGCATCCGACAAATGCGCAATCTGCGCAAACGCGCCGGTCGAGGTTCGATGTCCGCTGCGCTTTTTGACGTCACTCCCTGACAGCGACTATCACCTGTTCCTGATGACGTCACTCACAATGATGACGTCAACGGTCCCCAGTCTCCCGTAGAATCGTACTGTTCCTTGCTTCGATCTCGACCTTTTTAACACCCATCTGACCCATCCAGGTCTTATCGTACTTATTGGCATTGTTAACGCGCTACATTTGTCAAATTCGCGACATTAATTATTAATTTAGAGCAAAAAAAGGTAAAATTATAAAAATACATAGCACACAATAAATAGATATAATATTTCTTTTAAAATAGAATAGAAATTGATTATTTATATGTCAAAAATTTAGGAATTGGTCATTTGTGTGTTAAAAATTACATATCTCGCGTATTGAGATAAATAATTAGTTGTCTGTTCCAAGATGACATCATATTTACGGTATGACGTAGGCGGGACCTATAATATAGATGATGCTGGTATTACGCGGTGCTCGCTTACGTCAGATGGCAATCCACGTGATTGCATCATAATGTTGCATAAAGCAAAGGAACATTCTTGCTAAGGGCTGTTACATGCAAATGTTGAACTAAGTAATTTACCGTATACTCCAGAAAATCGAGGTACACTATAAGGATACACTTATCATTAAGGAACTTATTTTTATTTTGAGGAAAATTCTTGTTTGACAATTCTTGTTTTAAATAATATTTTGAAAGGTTAAAAATTTTAAAATTAATATTATAAAGAACAAAAATGTCAAATATATCTATATATTTTTCTGTCATATCTTTATTGTCATATACTGTAAAATCGAAAATGATCTGATACGTATATTATTTCGAATTAAATTTTTTTTTGTATAAAAATAATAAAAAGAAATAAAAATTAATTTAACTAATTTTTTCTGTTTAAATTTTGATAATAATTTTGTAGACAGAAATTTACCACGATTGTAAAATTTACCAGTAATATTCTAATTCACGGTTTAAAATATTGATCTCAATTTGAATTTATTGAGTGCCAACTACATGGCCTGAGAATATCGCAAAAAATATATAATTGCGTTTTTTTGTCTTTTTCCCTCGATTATTACTGGAGCATACAGCAAATTACCAATTATTATACAATACCAATATTTATACAGTTTATTTTTCTATCTTCGTATGTATTTGTGTTTTTGTACATATGTATATTTTTATGGCTTTGCTGCGCAACTTTCTCGAAAAATAACATTGAAGACGAATCAGAGTTAAACCATTTTAATCTGTGAATTCAATTTATTGCTTTCTGAGATCCGTTTCGAAGGGCTTTTTCTTTTCTCTTAAGCTTTTCCTTACCCAAGGAAATATCGTGATTAAATTGCTTCATAGTTTCTTCGGAGACGCTGTAGCATTTGGCATATATTTACTACCGTAGAATTGCAATGCGTTTATATAGCTTGAAGGAAAATCGGTGAGGAGTGATTTATCGTAGTCGATTTAAAACATCGGCTCGTATAGCTGGATTAGAAATTGCAGTTAGTTTACTTCGGCGAAATGTACAAGATTTCCGGGTTGCCATTAGGAGACAAATTGCGTGACCACGTTAGACAAATGTCTGTAAGCAATCCCGCAAGATTTCCGGTTTATCCGAGGCTCTCCTCGAAACCAGTTCGATTTGCGGTTCGAATCGAGCCGCGAATATTTTTAGCGAAGATTCGCGACACGAGATCTCGCGAAGTCGCCCGTAGATGTCGCCACGACCATCGATATCTACATTTTTGCAATATTCATTTACGATTGTTTCGATATGGCGTAATATAAATTCGGATCGATACAATCCAAATATTTATTTCCCACGATATTTTGGTACGAAATAAAATGGCAAAGTTGAAAAAAAATTAATCGGCGCGTTTGAAAGAGCGAAAATATATTTATAATTTGATGTAAAAATTTTTTGAACATGGATTATTCTTATCAGAATGTGTAATCCTTGAAAAATAATTTTCATACAAAATAGAAAACTAAAAAATGATTTTCCTATAAAAAATAAAAACTTATCATTCCTCAGGATTGACTGCACCAATCTTATTCAAACTGGTCGCAATCGAAAGCTTGCATCCACATTGTATAAGAAAAGTGCCGTTAGATTTTTGATTAATGGCTTGGTTCCTGAGGAATTTTAATCGAAAGTTTATTAGACGTAAAACTCCGGATAAGCTACTTGGTAGCGTCGCGGCCCCTGTACATAGGCAATAGGCAAACCGTTGAACAAGCCAAAACGTTTTTTTTATATACTTGGCGTCGCGACGCTACCGCGTCGCTTGATTTATCTCAGAACGCGCAAATATTTTTTATTTCTATTTTCCGATCAGTGAACGCACATTGCTAAATAAAATATGTACGGGCATAGTAATCGAGGAAGAAGGAATCGTTGTAGGATTTAGGTAAAGGTCGGAGAAAATAGTCGGGACGCGGTCCAGGTCGCGCTAGAATTGCGTGAGATTGGCGATCGTCATCAGTGTTTTCCGGTGAGATATAAATGCACATTCGCACACGATCATCGTCATTGCCTGCCTGACGAGATACTGTCCCGCCATTATTATACTCAACGAGCATTACACGGGGATATTATTCCGCGAAAAATATTCTCGTTGAGAGAAAAATCGTCTCTTCCCGGCTATAATATTATTTCGATGAATTTTATTTTTTTTTTATTTGACGATAAATTGCATCCATTATTTTGACTTATTATTATTTGAAAAGATATCTCATTTCGAATCTTGTACGATCGTTGATGTCGGATTCATTTTACGATTCGCGTGAATAAATAATGCTTTTTAATCGTATATATACAATATTTCGTTCCAATTTTTACACTCTTCCGTTGATCTTATCCTGGCGATTTATTCAGGTTCTTATATGAGAAGAAATTGCGCTTAAAGAAAAGTAGAAAGTAGATACTACATTCTGTGGTGTTAAAAGAACGAGATAAAAATGCACCGGAAGCGGTACGTTATTTCAGGCAGTCACGCTAAGTTATATGAGAGATTACATCGCGATTATGTATGAATATAGATTACAGAATATAGATCGCAGAAGATTGCGTTCTTGGAACTTATCCAATTCGTACGAACTGAGAAGCTTCTCGATTAACAGCGAACAATCTTTTATTTTATTGTCGCATCAATAATCTATTGTCTTTCGCGATGAAATATTAAATTATATTTAATGTGTGTGCGACTAATTAGATTTTCTTCTGCGAAATTATAGTCTCAAATTATATTCCGTTTAAAAAATAATTTAGATTCTTGACATTGTAGAATTATTTCCGGTATATAAAAAAAATTATTTGGAAATCGTTAATACACAAAACCAACATATGCGAGATTTAATTCGCGCCTTTCTCAATCAATTAGATTTTCTTCTGCGAAATTATTAGTCTCGAATTATATTCCGTTTAAAAAATAATTTAGATTCTTGACATTATCGAATTATTTCCGGCATATAAAAAAAATTATCTGGAAATCGTTAATACACAAAACTAACATATGCGAGATTTAATTCGCGCCTTTCTCAATCTTTTTTAGCATCTGAATCGTAGAAATTTGAAATCCTTAAGTAACGTGTTTGCATCTTCGTGTGCATCCAAAGAGAAAATTTCTGAATTTTCTCGGATCGAGGTTTTCGCCCTTTACTTTTCCTCGTTAGCGTATTAGGGAGGACGGGCACGAATTGGAGCAAATGGAAATGCGATGAGCCGTCCCGGTTTCACACACGAGGTCTCGATGACATGGCTCTTGCTCTCCCTCTCGATTGATTTCTCTCTCTCTCTCTCTCTCTCTCTCTCTCTCTCTCTCTCTCTCTCTCTCTGTGGATCTATCTATACCGAGACGTTGTTTATACCCGTACATACGCCTTCGCGTCGGTTGATGATGCCGCCGCTTGCGCAATCGCCGTTTGCGTTTCACATGATTCACCCGCGTGAAACGTTGACGGCATCATCGATGTTGATTTCACGAAAACGAGGTCGTACGGTGATTGTCATTGGACGGATCTGTCGATGATTCCCCGCGGCTCATGCATTCCTAGCGATGATCGGCTGGAAATAGCAATGGTACACAGGGTTGTTCGTAATCGAGCTGACCTACATGAAATTCGAAAGTGGATATTGATTCGAGAGCTATATCTGTCTGAAAGGAAATTCTGTTAGGGTTCCTGGGGAGTTTCTCGAAATATTCTCGAAAGTCACACAGGTTAGCTTCATCATTTATTAAAGTGATTAGTGTATTGTATCGTAAGCGCGCACTTGCGGGGGATTCTCGCGAAATTTCAGAAAGGGGATTGTATAAATTGTAGATTGAATATGCCTTGATGTTCTTCCGTTTAATTCTCAATTGTATTTGCGTCTGAAAGCGAAATTCGCTAAGCTCACGAGTGCTATTGAATTAATCTCGCGATGAATATTCCTCGATATTTCTCCTGTATTCTTAATTGATATACGAGTGTCATTTATATGCATTGAGCTTTGTCAAGAGAAAGAGCTTGGAAATCTTCGACATTAATATCTGGCTGTATTCTTTGAAAAAAAAAGAAGTACTAATTGTATTTAATATTTCAAGTAGAGATATATAAAATTTTAACTAACAACGTGCATAAATTTTAATTATCGGTCTTCGCATTGTTTACTTCAAAATTGAAATATTATATATTATAAATGTAATCAACCGATATCACACATTTCTGACATTTCAAACTTTTGAAATGAATGCTCGGTTTCGGTCTTCATTAGCTATCAATTATCGACTTGATAACTGCAACTATCGATCAGAAAAGTACGACGTTGCGGTAAAGGCAGGCGTATGGAAAGGACAGCGACGTCAAGAGTGACTCAGGGCTTCCCTCGCCCCCTTCCCCTCCGTTCCCATCTCGATTCCACGTATTGCATCTGCATGTTAAGTTAGATTGACTCCGGGAGAAGTGAACCGTGAGCCACTCGAATATATATACGCGCGAAGTCTTCAGCCTGTCTCCCTCTCTCTCTCTCTCTCTCTCTATCTTTCGGCTTTTCTCTCCTCTCCTCTCCTTCCTTTCTTCGCGATACACGCTCGTCCGAGCGTACACACTCTCTCGCAAATGCGTGCGCCAATTGTATTTGCATATTTCAAATTATTTCGAGGAAGATGCTAAGTGGGGCGTCGCCAATGGAGCGATTCCACCTCTCGGTTTATCTACGAGATGCCGTTCCTTTTTTTTTCTTCTTTTTTAAATCTTCTCTCTCTCTCTCTCTCTCGTCCGCGTAAGTACACGAAGGCGCACACGTGGGGGATGCGATTCATCGCGTGATCGATACCGCAAATGGAGCCCTGCGGATTTCTTCGCGTGAAATTGACCGCTACACACGTGGGCCGACATTTCGAACGAGGGAGCATTCTCGTAAGCGCCTACGTACGACTCGCGAAATCGTACGTGGCGTGTCATTTAAATATTTGCTCGCCGCGTCTTTACGCTTGCGAATTTTATTTCCGCGAGATCTTAAAGCCGAGAAGTTTTCACGGGCGAGCTCTCTCACGCGTCTAAATGTCGAGGGAAATTTTCCTCTCGCGTCTTTCCGTGTTTATTTGCGTTTTTTTTCGCATCCGCCGCGCGCTCCGACGAAAATAAATAAAAATTACGTGCCTGCCTCTTCCCCCTCCTCTCTTTCCCGATGGTACATTCGGTCGGGTTTATATTTGCGAATTTTCACGCTCGACGGGCGAATTCGTTATGAAGTTTGCACGCCGGGTTCTCGTCAAGCAGCCGGCACCTACGTACCTATCGACACAGTCTCGAGAAAACGATAAAGCGCGTCTCGAGACGACGGTGAACGAGCAACAAGACGAGAGAGAGAGAGAGACAGGAGAGATTACGCGGTATCGGTTCCTCGGGATTCGGCGGATTGTGCGTCTGCGAAAAAGTTACGTAGAAAATACTCGTGATCTTTGAAATGGAAACTTGCTCGCTCGTATGCGCGGATATAAAAGGAACTTTTCATTCGTGAAAAAATAATATGCATCCCGCGATGCCTTTTATACGCGCGCGTCTCTCTTATCTTGCATATATTTCGCGTAACGTTCTCTCTTATTGTCACGAATATGTGACTATTTCTGCGAAAACAAAATCGCGCCTCGCGAATTTATACGACTCTCTTATTCTCCGTTTGTTATTAGCATCACCTCGTTTAACCGATGCGACTTTATCGGACAAAGTGCGTTGCAATCGTTGCTCTCTTTCACGTTTTTTCTACATCCTCGTTTACGCTCGGTACAAACACAAGAGACAGATATTTCTCGGGGAGGATATTGCGCGGAGAAAGAATGCGGATGCGTTATTCCCTTGGCACGTGCCGTGTAATTCTGCCAAGAGCCCGTATTAATAGTCGCGAAACCAAGAGGTAAAAATGATCGAAATGTTGGCGCCAACGGATACAAATCTTTATTGCGAACAACGGTGTACGGTAATGTCATTCTGCAACGGTCGTTTGGTAAAACGATCCCGCGCGTCATTTAACATTCAAGAGATACCGCCGTCTCTTGGCGCGATAATATCTATTTGTAAATTAACACACGACACTGGGCCAAGTCGCCTGGTGGATGTTTCTGTACTTCGTGCACACGTCGACGCTGCCGTGACGGAACGGCAGCTGCACGATGTTGATATCGTAATCGGTGTTGACGAGGATGGCGTTGAGCGAGGGTAGGTGTAACCTGTTGACGATGTTACCATCCTGAATCTCGCCAGTCACCGGATTCATGTCGGAGCAACGGGTCTTGGCCAGCACGCAGGCGGTGGCGTTGACGAACAATTGCGCGACCTGCATGCTCGTGTAGTTCGCGTAGCTATCCTTGAAGCCCGGTAACATTTTTGAGGCCTCGTCGACGCACTCCTTAAGCTGCGGAAAGTATTCGTCAGCTCGCGGGAATTTTCGATTTCCCTCTCCCGATTCTCCAGTTAGTTTTCATGGTGCGGTAGAGATCCGTAAAGTAACAGTCATCGTGCATGACAGAGGAAACTGTACAATATTGTATAATACAGGATGATTACAGAGCTCGAGAATTACGTGCGAGATATCCGTGTAATCTCACGTCGTCAGTCGCATCCCCAATGAGGTAGAAAATCGTGGCCTCAAGAATGTGGAGGTTGCATGTGGACTCCGCGGATCTATAGATCCTGTTTCGAGACGAGCATTAGTTACATCGGTTTCTTTAATTATACAAACGTTATTCTGTGTCTTCCGTGCTAGAATTTTCAAGAATATAAAAGAGTTTTGCTTGATTCGTGTTACTCCTCGAAACGTTGGTCCTCTCCTGACGTCTATACCCTGAATAATTAATTTGCAACAGATTTCTCATTATCTATTTACAATATTATACAATATTTATAACTAACAATATAATATAATATTTTACAATATTTACAACTAATTTAAAAATATTCATGCATTAAAAATAGATAAACGAAAAATGGTACTTGAAGAGTACCATTTTAATAGAGGCGTGTCTTTTGCAAATTTTTAAAAATATTTACAAAATTAGTGCTAAATATTTTTTCAGATATTAATTTGCGATTATCAGTGATAAAGAAATAGAAATATTTATAAACGTGGTTGTAACGAATAATGTAAGCGGAGTTATTAGATGATAGCATTTAACGAGGACGCGTTGTATTAAGAGCAGTAAAGCAAAATAGAGCCAATAATATTCTGAGCTATTAGTTCAGAGTTCAAGCTTACCAAACTATTCTTATTGACTTGACGAATGCATTCTAGGAACGAGCAGTAAATTAACATAGGACTTCGCGTGTTAGGCATACTGGTCGCATTCTAGACGGAATTAAGAAACGTAAAATTTATAAATAAAAAATTACAAAATATACTATGTATAGAGGATGAAAATAAACGACCGGCTTTTCATGCACATACTCGCAAATAAGCCTGACAATGGCCGTAACTGGTGTTGTTGAGATAATCGTCGGCGCACGTCGACATGGCCGCCAGCATGGAGAAGCCCTGTGGTAAGATGCTCGCGCGATAGAAGCAACCGTAACAAGCGTCGCGTTGCAAATTCGCGTTAGAACCTTGCGACTGGTTGCACAACTGATTCAGCAATTCAGGTATTTTCACTCTGGAAAGGAAAGTCGCGTTGTTACACAATGCGCGGAATAGGCACGCGCAACGAAAATATTTTTCTTTCTTTTTTTTTCGCACAAAGAGAGAACAATATCGGAATATACTGTTTAATCCCGGTAAAGGTTCCCAGAAATTTTCCCAAGTTGTCCTGCACCAGGGAATCGACAAAATTCACACTAGAAATCGAGAACAATATTAAAATCACAACTAACGCCGCTCTCGTCATCGTTGCACGAGGCCGTTTGGCAACTTCCTTCCGAATCGCATCGGGCTGGTACTTTTATACTGATGTATGAATCTGATAAGACTTGCCAGGGATGTATTTACGCTCGGTGTTTTTTCGTTTGGAAAAAGTACACTTCGATTCGTATAATTATATTCGCGCTAAAATATACATATTTTGTATTAAATCTTTCTCTAATTATTCTAATTATTTATATTTAAATATTACGGACAGACATCAATTAACCTTTTAATTCAGATTAAAATTTCGCAACGAATTTATTAATTTTGCATTTGATAATCGAGAAAATGTGTCTATGCAACCTTAGAGCGTTTAACTTTAACCATAACACAATCTTACTCCATCTGCTTCTGCTTTTGATTTAAAGATTGAAGTCAACATTAACATTGATAAGACGAGTCTTCAATTCGGCTATTTCTCCATCGGATTTTTTTTTAATTTTACGTGGCTCACGGCCCTGGCGAGGCTGAAGTTGCAGGTAAAGCGTAACGATTCTAATTATCTGCGACCTCGCGCACGAGGTCGTGACACGTGGTTGATCGTCGTTGTTTCGTGAAAATGGACCGTGAATAGGAGATGTGGGACGGCTAGTGAATCCCTCGATTCTGGCTCGAACCGATGCGAATCGTACATCGGGCAAAATGTATCGCATTATCGTTAAAAGTACGGGATGCATCCAACGTCATCGTTGCACTTTCACAACGACACGCAATATGGCGTGCGCGGTTACTTTATTTATTTTACGCTCGAGGAGAGAGAGAGAGAGAGAGAGAGAGAGAGAGAGAGAGAGCCTCTCGTGCCCGAAAATTCCCTTTTGCCGATGATTGTTTCCCGCCGGAAGTGGGAAGCTCGAGCCACAGTTAAAAATACATGACTCCGGATAATATTGTTGTAGTCTTCGCGTCACGTTCCGGCAAACTTACGTAATTAAGTAATTGATTCGGCATTTTATCCGTTTCAAAAGGTTGAACACCGTGAATCGGAAATGTTTTATTTGTGTTTTCTCTCGCAATCAGAAATATGTATTCGCGAATAAACTCGTTCGAGCGATGCGTAATGCGTCGTCGAAGCGAGATCGGAATATCCCATCCGCGTTTCGTCGACATGGCAACAAAATTCCTCCATATTCCGTCGTTATCTAACGGGAACTTTTAATCAGGCATCGCCATTTAGGAGGGACCCATCGGAAAATCAGCGCGCTTAAACGCGCGCTGGTCGCGACGAAAGTGAAAAGGCAAACGGTGTCGGTCGGGCGCTCTCTCTAATTTCGAGAGCCACGTGGAAAAGTGGGCTATGTGTGCGCGCGAGAAACGACACACGCGTCGCGGCTATTTGTGCGCCAGACATACGCGGAGAGGGATGACTGGACGAAGGCTGAATGTACGCAAACGGGGAGAGGAGGTTAAGAGCAAGATAGATAGAAAAGCAGAGAAAGAGAGAGAGAGAGAGACGAACGCGTGGACAGCGGTGCAATCCCGCCGGCCAGAATTAGAATGACTCACAGAATTATTTGGATTTATGTAATTCGAGAAATTTTCGGCGACCGCCGTCGCGACGTCGATGACGTCCTCTCGCTGCGTCACATCTGTGTTCGACATCGTCGACGGGTTACGCGCACGAAAATTCGCGGTATCATATTGCACCTTTGGTACCTTCCTCGCGAAGAAATAGATTTGGCGATAGATTCACCGCGAGACAGGATAAAACAGCTGTTGTTGAGCATCGTCTATAAAAGTATTTCGCGAAGCATCTCTCGCGCGATCTCTTCATGACTTACTAGAGGAATTTGTCACTAATGCGTTTTGATATCTCGGGCGTCAAGAGGAGAAAAGTCGACAGTAAGAGAATCCATGTTACGTCACTATAATTCTTAGTGGACTATAAGATGGTATCGAGTATTATATACGAGCGTTCGAAACCGTATTTCATTGCTGATCGCATGGAGCGTGGTCGGTACTTGGCAATATACAAAGAGCGATGAAAGCATTGCCGCGTCGTAAAAATATCTCGGTCATAATTCGAAGCTTTACACATTTAACGTCTTCGCGCGTAAACGCGTCCCAAAGTGTCGCGGGACGCAAAAGGGGCACAGGGTCTCCCGTGTTCTCGTATCCTCCCTCCCTATCCGATTCCCCATCGAGGAACTCGATCAAAGCGAGACTCAAGGATTCAGGTTGCGGCGCGTGTAGCGCGACATTGACGACGCCTTCCGTAATTGCTCTTTCTGGACCCACCGAAGGAATCTAATTACGACGGCGTCTCAAAGAATTGCACGCGTCGTAACGCGTCCGTCCGACAGCTGCATTCTCCTCCCAATTTCTTCGCGCCGCCGCTCTCTCTCTTTGAGCTCTTTACTAAAAACCAATTAAACGTCCGTAGTGTCTCTGAGGCATCGCCGCGATGACAGGTGCGTCTCGTCAAATGTCCCATCGTTGTGGCTGTCTAATTTGGTAAGCGGACAGTTCGATCCTTCCGCGAGTTCCACGAGCACTTTATTTCAACTTAAGTTCATAAACGCGTTTACGGCACCAACGAAAGATTATGTTAATTCCGGCTAAGATTGTGCGAGAGGATGAAAAAGAACGCCACCGGGAGTGTCGTCTCTCTACTGGATACTTTCCAATTACGAGGACGAGAATTCGCAACTCGGTTAATTCGTCAGCAATCTCCGTTGGGCGTTCCTCATCGTCGAATTAGGAGAGATGCGTACGCTCCTGATTATAAAAGGTTAAAATTCGTTTTGCTTTACCGAGGCGTGCGCGCTTCTTCCTTGCACACACAACCGCGCTACTTTCTCCAGCCGTGATGAGAGAAGGACGTCTCAATTATTTTTCCTCCCCACGGGCTCTCTCTCGGGATCCTTTCTGGCCGTCTGATAAGTGCATTAGTTGAACCCGGAAATTGGTCGACCCCCCGTGGCGTGTGCGCGCATTAACCCCACCATCTGGTTCTCGTCGCTTGAGAGGCGCGAGAAGTCGACGCAAAAAAAAAAGAAAAAAAAAGAATCGCGCGCGGTAAAAAGAAGGAGAAAGGACATACTATGTGAAGGAAAAGGTGATCCCACGTATATGAGCCGTACATCAACAGATTTTAACCTACATACGCTGGTGCTTTCCTTCGCACGTTTCGACCTCGTGGAATGCTTTTAGCTGCAGGAGCGCACAATGCCAAGTGTTTTGTGTCGAATCGCCGAAAGAAATAACTCCCCACGGCCTTTAACGTCGGGAAACCCTTCTTTTCCATTTTCGCGATTAAATTGTCTTTAAATCGATATTTATCGCTCATTTCTTTCTTACTATTAATCGAGGATGTTCTCGGCACTTATTGTCAGAAAATTTCAAATATACATTTTTTTTATTTTGCAATATATTTTGTTTTCTAACATAAATATTAAATACTATATATGCACAAATATTTTTCGTCTTTTTTTTCTGTTCATTTTTTCTACGATTTATTTTTTTTAAGAATCTTAAATTTATAACTTATAATAATAATAATTATTAATAATTTACAGAGACAGTCGCACAGAGCATTTGCCGCTATAATTTTCCTCGTCTTCCTTTAACATAAATTCGGCGAAGGAAAGAAATAAACGCCGTTCAGATATTCTCCGGAAACCGAACGTGGAATCAACGGCCCGAATTCGTGGGCGGGGTACGCGAATAAATGCGAGCATGTAATGCGGCGATAAAGGCGGACCTTTTCCCATAATACGACCGTATTCGTCACCGCGTGACCTGACATATCTACCGCCGCATATACAAATACATTTTCCTCGGCCCTGTGCACCCTAATTCGCAGGGTTCCCGGCAACGGATCTCGTTTTACGCGCACGGGTCGTTAGATTTTCGAGAGTACGGCCCAACCCCGTCTATAAGAAATTGACGCGGTACACGGCGATAAAAATCAGTTGGCCACGCAAAGGGTGCATGCATTGGTCCCGAGAGCGTAATTCAGAAATGCGATTCATGTTATTATCCTCGAAAGATAGATCCTTGCAGTAGAGTATATCTTGAATATGACAAGTTTAAATGAAATCTTATGTTCGTATAAAATAATTATAAATTTAATATATTATAACAGGGTGTCTACTCCCTGGAAAAACATGAAAAACCTGGAATTCTCATGGAATTTTTTTGTATCTGGAGAAATCAGAGAATTTTATTGAAACTCATAAAATTAAAAAAAAAATTCTTTCTTTGATAATTTGCTTATTATTATTTGCTCTTATACTGTAATAGGCAATTCGTCGATAAATCAAATTGTAAATTATGTGTTTAAAATATATTATAAATATATATCTATCTCTGTTTATATATATTCAATGCCTTAATAAAATATTAAATATTAAAAAAGGAAAATGTTATACAAATTAAAAATTTTTATCTTGACAAAAGCTATTCAGTTTTTTTCATAATACATTTGAAATTCTAGCACTTGAAACTTAAGTGGCTTTGTGTTTTTCCTTTGTATGAGTGAAAAACATTAGAAAACGCGTACAATAAAAAAATTTATTTTAGGTGGAAAAAACACGGAAAACCTGGAAATCTCAGGGAATTTTTTTTCTACCTGGAGAAATCAGGGAATTCTCATGGAATTTTATTGGGGACTCAGGGAATTAAAAAAAAAATTTTCTCTTTGATAATTTTGCTCTTATACTATAAGCAGTAAGCAATCCGCCAAAATATATTATAAATATATGTATAACTCTGTTTATATATATTCAATATCTTAACAAAATATTGAATATACAGTACATTTTCTTTATTTTAATTTTTAGTAACGAAAAATGAAAATGTTATACAAGTTAAAAGTTTTTATCTTAACAAAAGCTATTCAGTTTTTTTCATTACATTTGTAAATCTGGCACTTGAAACTTAAGTGGCTTTGTGTTTTTCCTTTGTATGAGTGAAAAACATTAGAAAACGCGTACAATAAAAAAACTTATTTTAGGAAATTGCACCAAAAAATCTTTAAAATAT